TTTATCTCTATCTCTATTTCTTTCTCTTCTCTTTTCTTCCTTCTAGTTTCTCCTTTTTCATATACGCTCAATATTATTTTTTCTTTCTTGTGTATCTGCTTCGCTCCTTGCCCTTTTTTACCCCTTTCCCTCTATCCCTCTCTTCTCCTTCCATCCCTCCTCCTTCCTCCCTTCTCCCTCCCTCCCTTCCCATCCCTTCCCATCCCTCCTCCTTCCTCCCTTCCCATCCTTCCTCCTTCCTCCCTTCTCCCTCCCTCCCTCCCTCCTTCCTCCCTTCTCCTTCCCTCCCATCCCTCCACCTCCCTCCCTTCCCATCCCTCCTCCTTCCTCCCTTCTCCCTCCCTCCCTTCCCATCTCCCCCCTTCCCATCCTTTCCCATCCCTCCTTCTCCCTCCCTCCTCTCCCTTCTCCCTCCTCCTTCCTCCCTCGCACGTCCTCGTCCTCGTCCCCACTGCTTTGTGACGCGATCCTTCACCCTCGATCTTCATCCCACGGCGAGGCAAGACGGAGGACCAGGATGAAGAGGATTCGGGATTTGTCTCCGCCGCCTTTCGGCCACCAGGGATCTCCGCTCAATATCTTAGGGAGGAACTGCAGCGGCGTGGTTGTCCTTTCTGCGTGTGTGTATACGTGTGTGTGTGTGTGTGTGTACGTACAAACACACACACACACACACACACACACACACACACACACACACACACACACACACACACACACACATATATATATATATATATATATATATATATATATATATATATATATATATATATATATACATATGCATATAATCTTCTTCTAGTGTTCTGTTATACAACAGGTCCTTTTTGGTATCCATTTTATTCCAGACCCTCTGTTCTCTGGGCCATTTCCTGAGATGTCTGCCATAAGCATTAAGGAAAGATTTGTGTATACATGTATACATATATAGATAGATAGATAGATAGATAGATATAGATACATAGATATATATATGTATGTATATATGTACACACACACACACACACACACACACACACACACACACACACACACACACGCACACACACACACACACACACACACACACACATATATATATATATATATATATATATATATATATATATATATATATATATATATATATATATATATATATGTGTGTGTGTGATAAACCAATATGTATATGCGCACAATATGTAGACATCCTTTAGATTCATATTTACCGAGTATCAATTTGCTTTCATAATCCTCCGTCGCTGCCCTGTCCCGGAATCGCAGTCCTACGAGCCATCCGGCGTAGGAGCAGGCACTCAGCCTCCGTCGCTACCCGTCAGCCGAGCAACAGTTCCCTCGTAAACATGAATCCGCACCGCGCGCAACTACATTACTGGCGCTACCTTCCTCCTCCTCTGCTTGGCTGTTCACCATTCCACTCTCTGAACACTTGAACATTCCCAGCGTTTGCCGTACTCACTGCTCGTCTCGGTTATGCATCATTTGCCTGAATGGCCGAGCCTACCCGCGCGCACGACGATTCTCACTCCCCGTCTGTGTTTCAGGCACGAGGGGCCCCGGGAAATGTTGTTGGAGCTTTTTTGCTTTTCCTTTTTTTTATTCTTTTCTCTCCTCTTCTCTCTCTCTGCCTGTGTTTTTTTGTTTATTTTACACAACTGTTTCTGTCTATTTATCTTTGTCAGATATTTGTTACCTCTGCTGTCCACAGTTTGTCAGGGGTTTGGTTGACTTAAACTCACGGTCTATCTGCAGTGTTTATTGATGGTGGAGGAGGTTGGTAGCGTAGCGTGAAGATGCCAAGTGGTCTGAAGTAGATCCGGGCAGCGGTTAGTCCCGGAATGGCAGGGGCCCTGGAGGGTGGCCCCCGGGAAGAGGCTGTGACTCGAAGTAGAGTGCTTGTAAGGTGACGGTCAGGTCATGAGAGATGAGGGCGTGGTTTAGGTCAATACGGCGGTGATGCCATGGGTACACTCCTGCTACTTGGAGGGCGTGACACTGAATGCGTTTGACCTGCCTCAGAATCTGCTTACCTATCTGTCTATCTATATATCCATCTATCTATCCTTCCGTCTATATATCTGTCTGTGTGTGTATGTGTATGTGTATGTGTGTGTGTGTGTGTGTGTGTGCGTGCGTGTGTGTGTGTGTGTGTGTGTGTGTGTGTGTGTGTGTGTGTGTGTGTGTGTAATTGTATTATAGGTGTGCATGTGTATGTGTGTGTGTGTATATTTATGTATATTTGTAGGTATATGTATATATAAGATATCAAACCGTAAGATAGATGAAGCACTGACACCTTGGTCATGATATAAAGAAGGTAAATGAGAGTTGAATCCCCACCAAAGGAATGGATAAGCTTTGAAGCGGACTGCAGAAGCATATCTATAAAGGAAGGGAAAAAAGAGATGGTAAATTACAGTGCCCTGAAGACCACCGCTAGTAACAAAAAAATTGGTAAAGTTAATTATAACATTGACCTCGCAGTCGGGAAAGCTTG